CCTTATTTGAGGCAGTCTGGTACGCCCCTCGTGGAGGGATTACCAGCAGTGACACGATTTGATCACCGTGTCCAATCAGCGCTGAAAGAGGCCAGGGCGTGCTTAGAGAAAGCACGAGATAGGCAGTCAAAGCATGTTGACCGCCATCGAAGAGAGGTGTCGTTTAGTAAAGGAGATGACGTCCTCCTTTCGACACAGCATATTACTCTCAAACAACCTGGGACTCGAAAACTATTACCGAGGTGGATTGGGCCCTTCACCATCCTCGACCGGATAGGTTCTGTCGCATATCGACTAGAACTCCCGGACAGCATGCATAGGATACATCCAGTATTTCATGTATCGAAGATTAAGCCTTATAAGGCAAGTGGCAGAGAACAGCCACCCCCAGTACCTATCGAGATCGAAGGTGAACTGGAGTATGAAGTTGAACGTATCCTTGATAAAAGGATTAAAAAGCGTGGGAGACGCAAAAACTATATTGAGTACCTTGTCAAATGGCTGGGATATGGACATGAGCATAACAACTGGGAATCAGCAAAGTCAGTTGCAAATGCACAGGAATTGGTTCAAGCATTTGAAAATGGCAGAACACCTGTGATGCGAATGCAAACTGCATGAAGTACGGGATGTACATACTGAAACATGCTCATGTGTGCTTATGCTTTTGACAGGTTCTCTTGCGCTGGGCCCAGAAAACCACTGGGTATACTGCCCCCCGTGCAAGATCGCAGTTTGGACACATGAACGCCATGTCCGTTGCGATCCTCAACGGGGAGAGGTTGGAGACCGCCGACCCCTACGTGCCATTTCCCCATGCGCCTGAGCGTGCACGCGGACGTGGGCGACGGCGGGGTGCCGCACCGGGCCGATCTGTACCGGCGTGGGCTTCTGGTGGTACTCGGTATCGTGGTCGCCGATGAAAGGCCGGGAGGTCAAACATTTCCAGCCACTTGGCTGAGGAAGAGTTTTAATGAGGGTTGTGAAGGCCGGGACGGTCATGTAAAACAACCACTCTTTCTCTTCATCCAAAACCGTTTTGTGTGTTGTGTTTTGTTAACTGGGCATGTGGCAAATCGCACAGCCAGTTCCACCAACATACATACAATGTTTCTGCTCCCGTATTCACTTATACTGGGCTGAGGACGCCCCTCTCCCTGAGGGGGACGAATGTTACGCGCACCAGCCTGATGTGGGAGACGTCCTACTAATGGCCCTTGGTGTGGGGGACGCCCTGCCCAAGGCACGTACTATTCCTCACCCACTGTAACCTTTATCCATATTAGGATACGGGAGTAGGAGGGGTGGTCCCGCCTAGGTGCCCTGTAAGGACCTAGGTGTACGGCGAGGCGGGTCCGCGGCTCAAAGAGGGCAGGAACCCCACACCCACATCCTATTCGTAACAGGTGAAGCCGCCTTCGGGTTCGCTAAGGGGGATCTGGGATTGCAGCGCGCGCTAGGATCCCTCGAGCCCGGTGCCGCGATGCTTCTCGTGCACTTGATGGAGGCGCAGTTGGTCGACCTGCCGTTCGGTAATGGCCACCGAGGCGTAGACGTACGGCAGGAGAAGATCGCGGATTGAAGGCAGTAGACTCGGATGGGCGAGCAGGTCCACGAAGGCCGCCGTGTAGTCGAACTGCCATGCGACCCACGGCGCCCAGCTCGCGTACTCCTGGAAGTAGCTAGAGTTGGGTCCCAAGGCCGCGGCGATGGTCTGGCCCTGGCCGGTCTCCCGTACGTCGAACCATGCCGGGAAAGACGTAAAGTCCGGCCTGGCGACCCTGTTGTTGACTGAGCGGGGGAGTAAGCGGGGGTCGGAAACCCACGGGACCTCAATAGGACGGTCAGGGAGGCGCTGGTTGAAACGAAGCGCCTGTCCCCGCAGCCACTGTTCAGCCGGGCTGGGGTTCATACAAAAAGGACTCGGCGCGAAGGCCGGAAGGTCGAACCACTCGGTGGTTCCGGGTTGTGCCAAAGGGTTGGCGCGAAGCGAAACAAGATAAAGGGGGCGCCAAGGGTCGCGCCTAAAATAGCCGCTCCTACTTGCCACCAAACTCCTCGCCAAACCCAAGGGCCAGCTTGACCGGTCCCCTTGACTGCTCCCAAGGTACAAGGTCCAAACCAAGAGCCCTTGGATACGTCGGGCAGCACTGACCCCGAGTACAGGGGTGACAGAAACCGGCTTATGGATGGCCCAAACTATCCCAAAAAGGCGGAACGGCCCGACCTGGCCGTTGCGCGCCCTCCCAATCGTCGTCCTTCGCAGAAACCCATTAACAGGATAGTTAATTCCATAAATCTCCTTAAATCAACAAACATTCCTGTCGGTGTTAGGAGCACGATCCATACATCGTGCTGTCGAAATGCAGATCTGACTTTGCAATTTATATGATGAGCACACTGCGCTGGTGCCTTGAAAATGATATCTGGCGCAGCCACCGATGCGCACAGCTGCGAGCAAGCCTGAAGCTCACAAACTCAACAGAGAAGCACTATGTACACACAAGCGCTCATGCAAAACGACGTTTGCTGCCCACCCCTGAAGACACGCTCTTGTAGCATTCATCACGGCGAGCATGCCTGTTCATTGTATCTGCATATGCACACAGACGTGCATGAAACTGCTATTCAGTAAGGTGCCGCGCAGCGCACCAGCTGGCATATCGGTCACATTACCAACCGTCTGGGGATTGTGTCGGGAGGAGTTTTAGGCTGTTCCCCTTCATGCTCCCCAAGTGCGGCGGTGGTGTGCCCGTTATTCAGAATGCACCAACGTGGCGCCCATGAAGAACGCGAATGTGAGCAGGTGATAACAGTCTTTACTGTTTGAAATTCACACACGCTTTTCCAGCTGCCTTGCAAAGAAATTTCAGAGCCTGTCATCGCGCACTAACACACCGTGCACGAGCTGTTGCAGTGCCTTGTCCTAGGCACATGTTTCAAAGTACGCAACATTGTAGATGGCTGCCAAGATAGACATCACCTTGCTAGCCACGCAATCTTCCAAGACCGTTCCCCATCGCTTCTCGAGCGTCTCCGCGTGTATAACCGAAACCACCCAGGATAGGCACAATAGCAGGCGATAACATTACGTCATTTGAAGCATTAAACTACTTAGAAGCAATTCAGGGTTCAAGAGCAACACTAATTAGTGTTGCAGCCTTGTAGTTTGCCTGAAAGCATCTTCCCCGGGCTGCAACGCGTCAATGTCCACTTTGCCACCCGCGGCAGCCTGCCTCTCGTTGATTAATGTGTGCCTGTGTCGATGGCCGTTTTCTATGCAATTGTTGAGATGGTAAGGGAAGACGCTACGTCGATTCTGGTACGCTTAGCGTCAATTTGACGTTAAGCTCAGAGCCCCCCCGCCGCCCCCCCCCCCCCGCCCAGCGTTAATCCTTATGTCGCTGCCAGGATGACTCAGTGACATTGCCTAACAGTGCCATTCAACTTCCAAGTGCTTCTAAAGAGAAAAATAATGAATGCTGTGCTTTTTTAAGCGGGTTGAAGAATGGGACTCTAAGGCCTTCTTTGAAGATCGAACACTTGCAGAAGGCCTAGGAGCATGTCTGGGGTCGTTTGACGTTTATCAGTGGCGTTTATGAGCACCTTCCTTCCTTGTGTGGATTTTGTGTCAATTACACAATCTCTTAGAGTCACATCTCACCCCCACCCCACCACCCCGCCCCATCGACAGTTTGACGCTAAGCGTACCAAAATCGACATATTGTCTTCCTTAAGACAGCCATATACATACTCAATTCACATGGTGATGTCTTAGATGATGTTCTTTGTTTCTGAGCATTTGATGACTCATGTTATACCCCGGTGTAGCGATCTGTGCCAGCCAGAAGGTGCCCAACACATGCTTGCAGTTATCTAGACGGCCTTCATCCTTTCTGTGATACCGCCCTGCCCGATATATTTCGGGCCAGTGCCAGCCTGTTTGCGCAGCGGCAGTGCCCCTGTTCGATGCAACGGGCAGCAACGCAGCGGAAATGCCTTGCATCAATAAATACGTGGCATTGGTAATGCTGTAATCCTGGCTAGTATTGATGCATCAGGATTGCTGCAACATTGTTAGGGCCTGCTCCTGCTGCATTAAATAGTGCCGTAGAACAGTGTGTTATAGAGTCGGTTCTAGTAGAGAATCGTTTTGCAGGAATGCGCCCTTTAACACACTCAGGCTTCTCATTTTACAGTCCAATATCGCAAATTGCAGAGCCGCGTCGACTTCGCCTTTCATGGGCACTTGTTGCACAGGCCGCTACTGTGTCAGAATTGGCCACTTGCGCAGGATTGTGTTGCGGCGAAGTGGAGTGTGCGCAAATTTGTCAATTCCACTACATTAGGTGCATTACGGACCATTGCATACTTGTGCTTGCTTGTGGTGTACTGTGAGACTTGTGACCATATCCTGCAGAACGGCAGAACCCCTCATATGATAATACGACGATGGCCCGAGTGCTGATCTGCTATCGCTTTTCAATGGCCGTGACATTCTCCAGGCCGATGACCTTGCATGTGGGAAGGGGCCACAGATCATAAGCAGTGCATAGGTTGCACTGCAAACGCAAGCGGCATGCACCACACAAACGCCATGCGCGGCATGCGCGGCATGCGCCATGACAAACACACTACTGACCAGCCTGCACGCCAAACTCCATGTTCCATTACATCTGATGTGGTCCAAGTCCGGAGCCACCGCCCCCTGCCCCAAACCCACATATCCCGTGCAAGGCCTTGCCAGATGAGCACCATGGCGGCGTGGGTCGCCGCCCCTTCCCACCTTGTTTGTACATGTCCCCCCCCGGCACACACAAAATCCCTGCACCTCAACTCCCCCTTTGTTCAGTCTTCTCTGTGCCTGTTCCCTGCGAGCACTCAATTGCGGATATCGCCGTCCCAACGCCTTCAGACGCCGTCCACTTATCCCCACCGATCCAGGAGCCCAACCCTCACATTTGGACATTTTCCACGGGCCATTCCGTCCTCTACATTCCTCAGTTCACCTGCGGCGACGATGGCGAGTAGGTCGGTGACTCTGGCGAGTACGTCCTGCGTCCTGTGGATCCTCCTGTGACCCCTGGCGAATACTCAGGCGACGTCGGCGAGTAGCTGGGCGAGCTGCTCCCGCCTCCGCTGGCCCTCCTGGCCCCTGCCCCTGATCCGCTCCCAGGAGACGTCAGGGGAGACGTTGGGGAGTACGTCGCGTAGCCGTCCGCGCCCGGCGACTGAATGGGAGACGTCGGTGAGTAGCTGGGCGACAAGCGGCCTGCCGGGCTCGATGGAGAGTACCTCGGCGACGTCGGCGAGTAGTTGGGGCTCGATGGTGACGCCCGCGCCACGTACTGGGGCGAAGTCGGGGAGTAGTTGGGCGACGAGGGCGACGCCCCTGCGATGTACTGCGGTGACGTCGGCGAGTAGTTGGGCGACGACGGGGAGGCGCCCCCAACGTACTGCGGTGACGTCGGAGAGTAGTTGGGCGACGCGCCCCCCGAGTACTGCGGAGAGGAGGGCGAGTACCTCGGCGACATGGAGTACTTGGGAGACGTCGGGGAGTAGTTGGGGCTTGCACCACCCGAGTACTGCGGGGAGGTGGGGGAGTAGACGGGCGACGAGGGAGAGTAGCCTGGAGACGTGGCCGGGTCCGATGGCCTGCCTCCAGGAGAGTACTGTGGACTCGTCGGAGAGTACTGGGGACTCGTCGGGGAGTACTGGGGGCTCGTCGGAGAGTACTTTGGGGAGGCCGGGGAGAACGAAGGGGAGGTTGGGGAGTAGGAAGGAGAAGCGGGGGAGTAAGATGGGGAGGTGGGGGAGTAGGAGGGGGAGGCGGGAGAATAGGAAGGGGAGGTTGGGGAATACGAGGGGGAGGTGGGGGAATATGAGGGGGAGGTGGGGGAATAAGAGGGGGATGTCGGGGAGTAGGAGGGAGATGTTGGGGAGTATGAAGGGGAGGTGGGGGAATAGGAAGGGGAGGTGGGGGAGTAGGAGGGGGAGGTGGGGGAGTAGGAGGGGGAGGTGGGGGAGTAGGAGGGGGAGCTCGGGGAGTAGGAAGGCGAAGTCGGAGAGTAGGTCGGGGACGTCGGCGAGTAGCCCGGCGACGTCTGCGACAGGGTCTTGGGCGTGTAGGAGGGGCTCGTGGGCGAGTACTGCGGGCTAGAGGGCGACTGACCCGGGGGCAGGGGCGAGGCAGAGTAGTACGGCCCCGGCGTCGTTGGGGTGGGAGAGAAGGGGCCCCTGTCCCCGGGGGAGAAGAGGACGTTGTTGGGCACCGGGGAGCCCATGCCCGGGGACATCAGGAAGCTGGGAGACGCGCGGCCGGGCGTCAGGCCTGGGGACCGCCCCGGCGTGAGGTGGCCCAGGTTGGTCATGGCCAGGTCGGGAACGTCATACCCCATCTGCTCCACGTCCACCGCATCCATCAGCATGCGCTCGTTGAGCAGCAGGTCGAAACAGCCTGTGCCGATGGGGCACAGCTGGCCCAGCATGACGTTCTCCGAGACGCCCTGCATGATGTCCACCTCGGCATTCATGGCCGCCCTGAACAGGACGTCCACGGTCTCCTCAAAGCTGGACTGCGCGAGGGGACTCTTCTCGCTGCGGTTGATGCCGTGCCTCGTGATCGCCATCATGTGGCCCCTGGATGCATCACAGTGCTCGTTACGGACGGGTGCTTTTTGCAGGCGGAAACGCGGGTGCCACTGGCACTTGCCTCCCCAGCAAACAATGTGAGCCTCTTTCAACACACTAATACATGATTTGGAATCTTTTTGCGGGCATCAGCAAAACTGCATAGTCACGGGCATGGCGAAAGGCGAGACATGTCACGTGAACTGCCTGTGAGCAGGTGTGGACGTTGGAAAAAAATACGAGGGGGTGCCAAACATGAAACGATGGGGCTGTGAAGCACCACCCTTTGGAGCAAGAAGCCCAAAACACGATCCCCCAAAGAGTCTTCCCACCTGTAGGTCATTGTGTCACACAATATGGCCAAATGTCGATAGTTCACATAGGACCCGTCGAACTCGATGACGCCTCTCAATTCCTTCAGCAGGCCGCTCCTGACAGCCTCGATGCCCAACACGGAAAACACCTCCACCATGTGGTTGCTTGTCGTTCGAGTGTAGTCAACACCCGGCTGACACATTACTTCTAGCAAGTTCACTCCCTCCGTGTCTAATAAACACTCCTTATCTGCAAATGACCAGCCAAGCAAGCGCATGAGGGTAAAATTAACCTGGGAATTTTGTCATTTCAGAGCATATAGTAAAAGTTTCACTCTGCTTTTATGTGCACAACTGCGGAGAGCTATTCCGCATTTGTCAAGATCGTGCTCTAGGGAAGGTCATGCAAGAAGCATACAACTCATACTGCCGTTGCTTGCCCCATTATTGTTATGTCAGCAAGGCATTCTTCTGTCGTTGAAAACCCATCCACAACTCATGGCGCAGACTATTCCAATGTGCAATGAAGAGCACGCACATATTGGATCACCGGCAGCATCTGTTTGAGCCAGGTAATGTGCACTCTTAAAAAATTTAGACACTGGCATTGCCCTATGTTGCCCTGACAGTTGACTGTCAAGAATATCTCTGTTCAGTAACCACCACTAAAGAAAGTTTCAGGACACTGCACACACTGCTATGCAGCTCACATCACAATGGCCTGAGCATGGCACTCACGTTCGCGGTACCCAGTGCCTCCTTCGAAATCGATGACGTCGCTCTTCTCCTCCCTAATAAACACCTTGTTTATGTTGGGTATACCCTGGATCTCCAGTTCCAAGAGCATCTGCTCTAACTTTCGAAGTGCCTCGCTGTAGTCAGCATAATCCCCTTCGCCCTTGCTCATCTCATCAGCGACAATGCGAACCTGAACCACCAACAATGCATCATTGCAAGGAACTACCGGTGCAGCCTGCTGGGAATTCGGACCACTGCCCTACCATCATCTTACTTTCCGATGTGCGTGGTACAAGTCCAGAGCATTCAATTGCAAAACGCCCATTGCAACAGCCCATTCAGAAGTCCTGGACTCATAGAGATGTGATGGCAGTTCCACAAGGTGAACTTCTGTGAATAGAAATGACACCCATGGCAGGCAAGAACCATTCTTATCTGCTGTCAGTGTGTTCCATAGTTCAAGATGGCCAGAACAGGCAACTCTTCTCCTGCACTCACCCGCAGCACCAACACATTGGCATTGTCATCCGTGAATATGCAGTACAAGAAGTCCTCATAATTCAAGCTGATCTTTTCTGCGATCTTTTTCAGAGTAAGGCTCTTGTCCAACATCATCTCCTTTTGGAGGACGATCCTGAGCACCCACGGTGTTAATCGGGCCTGGTCCACATCCTCGTCAAAGCCCAATACATAGTACTGATCGACCCACTCCTTGTCTTCAGGGACCACGGAGGTCAGAGGGTCTGGGTCATACCAAATTTCTGTGGTCTGTGCACACGTCCATGGGCAATAAAGTTTCAGAGAGTCTGCACAGCACACACACAACCAGAAGCCAGCACGCTCTTGGCGGGGCAAGGTGTTCTGGGAACCCACACTGATAGCACTTGTCAACACTTGTCACAGCAATGTCATTGCGCCTGCCAGAAGATGTCCAGTTCCACAGCAGGATTGTGATGTATGTTGTGTCTGCTGGAATGCAACACACCCGTAGACTTGCGACCAGTTGGCTGACATGCTAATCAATTCCAAGAACTGTGGTGAAAATCGCCACAGCTGACACTGTTCAGCACACCATTCAAACACCTGGACATCGCAAGAAAAGCACATATGCCAATGCCAGATAGAACCGCCGCAAAATGAAATTGCACATGCTCCCCAGCTTAAAGGCTTCATGCATGACAGTGTAGTTGAAAATGGCACTGAAAACATGTTGGGCAGCTAGGACTCTCCAAAGCAGGAGTTTGAGAACCTGTTGCATTATGTGGGAGATGATGGCGTTTGACTGCATCACACGTTGTGTGCAACAACGAACGCTGCAAAGAACAAGAATGCCCTGTCACGTGCTAGTCATTTATTGCCTGTCCACACCATGTGACCACAGCTGAACCCATGCACGTCACATGCAGCAAATCCCACCTGAACAACATTCCTGAGCCTTGTGAATTCCAGGTCACACTGAATCTCCTTTGCCTTTTCTTTGTTGTATCTGGCTTCCCCATTCAAGTATACCGAAAGCGAGGGCGTCTTGATGTTCTTTGCTATGTTTATGATCTCTGTCAGCCTTGGAACACCAAGCGTCACATTCTTGGCAGACACACCGGCAAAGTGGAATGTGTTCAGCGTCATCTGTGTCGTCGGCTCACCCACTGACTGGGCCGCAATAGTGCCTATGCACTCTCCTGGATGGCACTTTGCCTGCAGGCCAACAACACAACACATCTCAAAAGACCACAACTGTCATTGACTTGCACTTTTCCAAGATATCGTTTTTCGGACACTGTGTGCACAGCCACGTGCCCAACATCGAAGTGCAGATGCAAGGGCTGCGCTTGGCCACTACTCAACAAATGTATTCAAAGGATCGCACACTGCAGTTGTCAGCTATGCGATTCTGTAAAAAGGGTTGCAGCAACACTGAAGTGTGGAAAGGAGCATCGAAGGCAGCAGTTCACAGCTGGGAAACAGTCAGGACAACACGAGACAGTTTACCCATGCTTGACCGGATTTGTAGAGACACAGCAGAAGCACAAGTGCTCACAGTTCATGCAGTTTCCTGCCAGCCACTGCATTTCCCGCTGCAGCAATCTGCTGCACCACTCAGGGTGCTCTCTCTGCTGCCCCATTCACTGGGTTGGGTGATGAAACACTCTGCAGGCTATTACTTCTCTGCCACAGCCTCCTACTACTCGATCATTTGGACATCCATGTGAATGTCCTCAACTATACCAGGGTTTCCTGTCTGGGAACAATTGGGCGACAACAAACTGTCGGCTGTGCCAATGTCAGTATCGCTTCTCAGGCATGAAGGCCCTGCATTCCCATGAGAAGGCAGATGGGATCCACAACACAACCCACAGAGAGGGCATCCAGCAGGAAAAGCATGCAAGGCCAAATGCCAGTTGTCTCACCATGTGGAACCTGGAGACCACTTCCCCCACCACCCAATCGAAGGCGTCCCGTGTGAGACGATAGTCCCTCAGCACCCTCTTTGCTGCAAGGGTGTTCCTCATCAATGACATGAACAGAAAGGTGGCATTGACCTGGGCCTCCTGGGACAACAGATCATCTCCAGGCACCACGATGATCTTCTCAGCGATCTCCTGCACTTTCTCGATAATGTATAATGGACTAAGGCCTGTCGACTTCCGTTTGTGGGGCTTGCACTTGAACATTTTCTGAGCGTTCCATATGAGGCGCTTGATGTTCACAGGCAAATGGACCCTAGGCCTGCCATTCTCCAGGATCTGTGTTCGCAAGATGTGCAAGTCTTGCAAGATTGTCTGCAAGAGAGCGGGCAAGCAAGATGGCTCAGCGATGGGCCCTTTGCAAGCAGCAAGTTTTCTTTTTTTAAAATTCAGAAGCCTCTTAACCATTTCCATGTCAAGGTGCACAACACCATGGCTATCAATTGGTCCAGCAGGATGACTGAGAGAAGCTGCCTGAATTGCGCTCATTTCTCCACATCGTTTTGCACATTCAGCGTACAGCCATGCATTTGTACATAGTTCCTTGCATGGTTGAACAGGTAAAGACCCAAACCTTCAAAAAACACTGTTATGTGAGAGGAATGTGTCCCCAATCCCCAACCCCACAGCCCCCCACACACACTTGCCACCGAAATAAGCCTGGAACAGACTTGCTGCCAGAAAACATTTGCATACACACAAGCATGCGGATCAACAACAAGTTTGTTTGCCACTTTCGCCCTTGCACACCTCATACTCCGTGTCCAAGATCTCTCGAACTTCAAGATCGCTCCTCATCTCTTCCCAATGAGAAGTCTCGATCCAGTCAGGTTTGAAGTCAGAGTCAAGGTCAATTCTGTACATCCTCTCCAATGTGGTGTCATCCATGCGCAGGTGCTCCATTTTCTGGGCCTCGATCCCAACACCATCCATACCATCATCCCCGTACAGGAACTGCACAACCTCTCCAGCAGAGTTCCGAACTGTGCCGTCATAACGGATCATGAGGTCCTCCTGCAAGGGCACAGGCTGACGATTCTCAAAAGAAATTGAAACATGCCATGAAATGTGCATCTATCTCCAAAGGTTGTGCTAGAATTCCATCCTGTTGCGGACAGTGGGGTACTCTCAAAAGCACCAGGAAAACAACATTGGCATCCAGCCTTCATCTTGAAGCCAGAAGAGCACCTGTACTCAGCAACTTGAAAATGGTGTCAACGAACAAGTGTTGAGTTCTCATGGACTACATCGAACAGGATACAATACATCAGTACTCTGCCACCATCTGAGTCCTGACAACAGTGGTTGAGCCAGGAAGACACACACAGATCGATGGACAATGTGTGTGGACAATGAATTTAAGACGAAGTGACCTGCCACGCCCACTAGTGCATTTTCAGGTGTTTGCTATGCTAGGAGGTTGATGCAACCAGTTGGTGTCAAGCAATACAGATAAGTTCATGCTACTATTGTTTCTCCACCAACAAGTTTGGACTGCACAGGAATTTTAAAATCAACAAGAGAGCCCAGTGGTTTGACTTTCCAATGGGCATCCATTTCAACAATTAGTGCTGGACAAAACGCTGCAACCAACTTACTACACCGAAAAGCACAACCTGGATTACCAACAGATTGTTGCAAATTTCAACAAAGCACTACAAGCACCAACACCATCGCTTTCCACAATTGGATGATCGCACAAGACCCAGGGCACCTTGGTGCACAGTCCTTTCAGCACCTTGTTGGAGGTAAATGGTACACTGCTTGCAATCCACACAAGTGCAACCAAGCAAAACTTCAATTCGCTTACAATCTCCAAGCCTCAATGCCAGGTAGCTGAGCCTCACCATTGCCTTCACCAACCGCCTCTGAATGTACCCTGTGCTGGAAGTTTTCACTGCTGTGTCGATCAACCCCTCACGACCACCCATGGCATGGAAAAAGAATTCCTGAGGTGTCAGCCCCCGCAGGTATGAGTTCTCCACAAAACCACGGCTCTCTGGCCCAAAGTCATCTTTGGTGAAGTGTGGCAGTGTGCGCTGGCTGAAGCCAAAGGGAATACGTTTGCCCTCCACATTCTGCTGTCCCACACACGCGATCATCTGCGATATGTTGATGAAGGAGCCCTTGGAGCCCGCCGTGACCATGCGCACCACATTGTTGGTGTACTTGAGGCTGTGCTGTGCCTTCTGGCCCGCACTGTCACGGGCTTCATTGAGGGTCTGGTTCACCTTGTGCTCAAAGGAGTCCATGATGCTGCGTCCAGGCTGGGCCTCCAGCTTGCCACACTGGAACTTTTCGATCACATCCTTCACTTGGATCTTGGCCTGTGTCATGCAAGTGGGGTGTCAAGAAGCTGAGCTAGGAGTCAAAGAGTGTTCCCTACTGAATTCCTGAACACGATGCATTTACCCCAACAGGGAAAGTGTTTCCTGAAAATGACACTCTACGCCCACATGAAAATGCCAATTCTTCGATGTGGGCATCGAATGAGGAGTGAAATCACCCATCCATGCTGTGCTGCACCAAAACACAGGAGTGCAAGCTTATGCCCACAACTGTCTACTGTGTACACAGAGCATTGTTGTGCCCCACTCTCCCAGGTTTTGGATGCTAATGACACTGGTCATTGGCTCCATTGTTTCTGCAAGGCATATTTGTGATCCCGGATGCAGACACAACAGTACTGCTGCTAATCGATGTGGTGGTGAGCTGTGTTGAAAACACAGACGGCCCGCCAAAAGGTGCAAATGGGTACCAAAACAACAAAGGAACCAGACAAGATGCAACAACACCAACAACCACAAAATCATCAAGGACAGAATAAACAGCAGCAGCAGTTTGTACCCGGACAAAGTCGTCTCACCCGATGAACAACACTGGGCCTTAGCAGGGGGATGGAGGGGTCTGAGGTTTTTGACCTCTTTTGAGATGCGAACCACAGGACACAAAAGTAACATTCTGCAGTGCTGGTGAAGCACAAATCTAAAACACAATGGCAACAACTGCAGGTATGTTTGAACACTTACCTCGTTGATGATGTCATTGATGGCCCTCATGGTGCTGGTGTCAGCAACTGTGTCACCAATTCCAATGCTGAAGCCGTGCTGCAGGAGCCAGTGGTTCACAGTGTACTGAGTGTTGTTGAGAAAGCCCCTGGCCGCCTCTGGCCCTTTCTCCATCCATATTGTGTGCACCAGACCCCCTCCGGACTTGCCCAGTGTGCTCTTGCACAGCGTTCCCATCAGCAGCTCCCCATTCTGGATTAGCACCTGAGATTGAACGCTCTGCGGTCAGGGGCTGCAGAGAATTCCTAAGGAGAGAAAACGAATGCCACACAGTGTGCTTCCAATGGTGGAGTGTGGGTGCGTACTTGCTTGGGAAAGCAACGGCTTCACACTAGGAGGTGCTACGTACTTTATGCCTGAAATGCACAAGGTATTTGTTTCTTTTGGGCTTTTCATATGTACAAGTGTGATGAAACGAAATGCAACAATGCCCTCCCGGGACCCCAACGCCCTCTCCACAACCCTTGCCTGGGCCCATCTTGCAGTAACCGTCACACATATTCCTCACCATTAGGATTTCTGTGTTGAAGATTCTCCAAGAGCCTCTAAGAGTCTATAAGATATTCTCGAAGATTCTCATGCTAGCAGGCACTGTGGCCATTTCAGCAAGCCACCAGCAGACGTTGATAACAGCTGGGTGCGTGCCTCTCGCATTGAATGCTAATAACATATAATATGCATCCGCACGCAGAGGGATGCTCAACCTACAACAACTGGTGCCAGGCACAGCTTATGGCACGCATCGATGCACACATTGAATCAAGCACTGGGCACATATCCCAGTGCTGCCATTCAAGCATCCACAAGCCTTTGGAGAGAAATCTGTGACATTTAGCATCGTCTCTGTTGTACCATATGTACAGGATTTACTTCCTGTGTGGCATGCATCAGCATGCAGAAGCACACAAACACCTGGGTGTCTTCTGGGGAGAAGTCCTCTGGCTCCTTATCCTTGTACCACTGTGCCTCTCGCCGCACATTGACTTTGGGAAGGAACATGCTGAAGACCTGCTTGCCGGTCCACAGCACCTTGGGCTTCAGGATAGTGGGCTGCGGTATCTTGCCGTCCCATCCATCCATGTGCAGCAGGATGTTCATGAACAACTCCTTATCAATGAATGTGTCCCTCTTGGTGATGAGTCGGCACCCCAGCAATGGGTCCTGCACTATTCCAATCACGGGCTTGTTCGCCTGCATCAAGAGGTGAAGCCATTCCTCCTCACTTAAGTAGGGAAAAGCACCAAGTGAAACCCAACAAAACTCCATTTTCAACGGCAAGCACCTGAAACTGCTTTCATTGTGCCCATTCTCTGCTGTGGCAGACTTCAAAAGGGCAACAAATCTGTCCATTAGCAGCAAACGCCTTTTGCCTGTGACATATTAAAACGCCGTGGGCCATCCAGAAGCAGTAGCTCCCCATTTGGCCAGCCTCCGCAAGGGCCCAACAAGCACCACCCCAACATGCCTTTTCACTGTCAGCAAACAAGCACGCTGAGATTTCCATGCTGGTAGGTACAGCCCCCTGGTCAGCATGAAAAGTGCTGCCGACGTGATAACAGCAACAAGATCAATAATCGCAATTGGCAGTCTATAAAACAAGCAAGGGTTCCATGGGGATTCAATGCTGCACTGGAAACCGTGTTGATCACAGTCAAAGACATAAATTTTCAACGCAATCTCCCTATTGATTAGTGTGCTGCTCCACATCCAGTGTATTTGATGTCAATTCAGTTGCACAGGATGGCATCCAGATGGTTCATGTGCATGTGCACACCACAAATCTGTTGAACAACGATCTTATGACATTACAGCCAAGCCAGGTGTCCAACCCACCTGTGGAGAAACGACACACTTGGGCACCATCATGAGCTCAAGCGTCTCTGCCCTAGTTTCAGGTGTTTGAGGAACATGCATGTTCATCTCATCACCATCGAAGTCGGCATTGTATGGCGACGTAACCGCTAGGTTTAAACGGAAGGTACTATATGGAAGGATCTTCACCCTGTGACCCTGAACAAAACAATTGACAATGACACAAGTGTGTCACATACCAACAACAAGAATGTACGAGGAGAATTAGCCACAAACACTACCTTGCAAGCATCGTTGCTTTAAGAAATACAGCTGTTTTCATTTCGGCAGAGCTGCCCAGTCAAAGGCATCAATGAATGGATGCTATGCTGCAGATTCGTAACATCGGGGCTCCTCTATACTTGCTTCTGCACTGATCATGACTAACATTGGCACATAACGGGTACCCAAAAAACAGAAATCCAGGAAAGACAATCAGCAAATCATACCATTGTTGACATATCCAAGAGTGCACGATTACTTGCATATTGTGTTGCTTGTGCTGTGTGCTCATCATTTCGCATCGGAGACTGTATTCCATCTTTTCACAGCATGCAAAGGAGTCTCGCATACACTTGCTTAGGAGGCAGTGCCCTTTGCATGGCTTGTTTCTTTCTCATTTTGTAACAGATCTTACCATCATTGACATCTTGTGCAATGATGGCTGTCGGTTAAAGAGCACGACATCGCCATTCATCAGGTGCCTCTCCACCTGCCACAGACTTGAGCACGTCAAGGCATGTCCATGCACTGTGCAACACTCATAACACCAGGTCTGCATGTCTGCAGCCAATCCTCTGAATACATTTGACAAAAGGCGACAAGGCAGTGCATGTTGTTGGGCAAAGGCCTGGGTACACCAGATGTCCATGCTGACACAAGTGCCACTGGTGGGTGACCGTAGGGCAAAGTTGCCAGGGTCTTTACTGTCATTTGCAGCAGCATCTTGGAACATCAGTTGCATTTGCAGTTGTGTGCACAACTGCATGTATTATGCAGCAGATGTTCGAAATTCACAGGTGCATGCAGGCCCAGTCATTGCTTGGTTGCTGCACTTCATTCATCTTATTGTCAGTTGCCGATCCCACGGGCTGCACACTTCCATACAAAGCTTTGCTGACTAGAAGAAGTTCCTGATAATGCTTCCATTGCTCCTGGGTCCCAGTGCACTCAGTGCATGTCTGTTATGTCTTGACTGAATGGACTTTCTCGCTCAAGAGCGTCTTCAGTGTATGACACGGCTTCTCTTCTCTTTAAAACAGTGCTACAGGAAGTGCCAAAGAACAAGCCACCATCCTCCTGTCAACTTGCCTTGTACCCCATCTCCAAGTGCCTGTCGCTGTCCTTCTTTAGGTACCTTTCAATCAGCAATCACAGGCTGGAATCAATGCAAAAATCATCCCTTGCAGCTCTGGACTGAAGGCTAGATTTCTTACACAAGAGCCAAGCGATACAAATTTGCATCTTACCTTTGGAACACAAGCATCTAAATTTCCCATCCTGTCAAAGAATGATAGCGAATTGTGTCCTCCCATCAGCAAGAGAACAAACAACACACTGAACAGACAGCAAGCCACATGTTCAGGTGTTTTCGAAGCCCGTTGCTATTGGGATCGTGGAACTCTGTGCTCGCCCTACAATGCATGGGCAAACACAAACGTTTTGCAAGATATCAAAACACACAAGGCAACAGCTTGCCCTCACCGCAAATCCAGACGGCGCCCATCTTCACGGATGATGAACATCACCCCAGTCTCACCAGCTGGCGGATGGGGCCCATTTTCCACAAGTTTCTTCAACCTGCTCAGCAAAACCACATCCAATCACACAACAAGCGCCACTAGGAATTTCAACCAGAAACCAGCACAGCTGCTGAACAACATCACAAGAAGTTCCAATCCTTTTGGTTAGTTGCACTTGGTGCCACCAGCAGCTGCCTGCCTCGAAAACTAAGTCCTGCCATCGGTGCCGCCGTTTCAATTTGAGTTGGAAATTTGAGGCCCAGCCACAACACTGCTTATATCAAGCAAACAATCACAGTTCCAAAGTCCAAACCAGCAGGTTCAAATACCAACAGCTATATGAATGGAGTGCCTTTGACAGTGGCTGAGCAACAGTTGATTTGTTTCTGGCCATGCACATGCACAGTTCACACCTGGGTCAATGGTTGCACAGGTTACAGCAGTCAAGCACTCAATGTTCTGACACACGCTCACTTCTCATAGTTGAAAGGTGTGACTGTCTCCGGGTATGTCATGTTCAGAGCGATGGACCATGGGATGCCCAATTCGTCGATTCCAATGTTTGCGTCACCAGTGATGACTGTCCGCGCAGAAAAGTCCACTCGCTTCCCCATCAAGTTCCCTCGGATCCTGCCCTCCTTCCCTTTCAGTCTCTGGCTGATTGACTTGATCGGACGTCCAGACCGCTGGTTGGACCTGGGCATGCCTGGAATCGTGTTGTCGAAGTAGGTGGTGATGTGGAACTGCAACAAGTCACTGTACTCGTTGATGATATGCTGTGGGGCTCCATTCTGTTCCTGACGTCGCAGGTCGTTGTTGGCACGGATGATGTCAAACAGCTTGTGTGTCAAGTCGTCTTCACACCTGAGCAGCAGGAAGCAGGCTGGACTGTGAATATCAGAACTTTCTGTGTGGTCTGGAAACTGGCTTTCCTGACACCTCAGGACCTGGCCAGAGCAATATTTTGAGCTTGGCAACAGCTGCTGCAACACCCCTAAAGTGCCAAGGATGGGATTGCAGAGACGAAATGGTTTTCAGATCCCACCCTGCAGCTGTGACCTGAAGAGGTTTCAAAGTCGAAAAGCAATGTTGAGTTGTTCAAGGGCCAAGTAATGAGCACTTTGTCAGCAAAATAGATGGCGTACTTCCTTCCGCCCGCCCGCCAGATTCAAATTGCTACATTGTCGACAGTAAAAGCAAGAGGAAAGAGCAACACTGTTGTGCACACGCTTCCCTGGTTGCATTGTGCTCCTTGGCATCAATCCGGACCCCCATGCAGCTGTTCGACTGCCTGCAAGATCTCCAGGGCTGCTGTCTGACCACTATTTTTGCACAGTGGCAGCAAATCCAGTGGCAGTTTTCCTTGCCGTTGAGACAGCCAAGCACCAAGGCATGGGAACTGTGAGGAAAAGCGGAATTCAACTTGAAGAGCCTGCAGGCCCTTCCCAAGCAAGTCGATGAACACCAGAGCATGGACCAGCACCCAGACAAGCACCCTGTTTTGAGTCTCCTGAAGAACTGGTCTGACTCAGGAAACACACCTTGCAGAGCTGTCCATCATCACTGAAGGCCTCACATATGGAGGAGGCACTGGCAGGATCGTGAGGATGAACCAGTCTGGTCGAGCCATCTTCACATTGAACCCCAGAGCCTCATAATCCTCATCGCTTACATGCTTCAAGATGTCATAAGCTCGTTCTGCAGAGAGTTCCTGAAAAACCCAGTATGGGATTAAGCACCCTGCTCCCAATTTGCACCTGGCTACACATCTGCGTGCAGCTTGTTGCTGCTAATCATATGACATGGAGTACCAACAAATGACAGCACTGCCCTTTGTGTCCTGTGTCAGCAGATCTCGAGAACGATCCACAATCACAAAACTCATCTCCTGAAAGGGCCAGTCTTTGCCCACATGATGATTTGTGCATGCGTCCTAGGTGCGCATGGCTGGGTAGCTGTAATACAGGGCAAGATGGGCGCCCAGGCAGCTGCTCAGGAAGGCAGAAACTTGGCTGTGAGTTGAAGAGCAGTCTCTAGCACTTGCAAAGCCAGTGCTGATCTCGATGTGCACCCCGAAGGCCATTCAGGCAGTACCTGCTTCCGCTCAGTCTCAGCCATTTCATCTCCCCTGGTTCTCGGAAACTCCATGTGAATCTTGTTCCCCAGCAGCCTATATTGCGGCTGAGGAGCCCCAGTGGTCTCATCTTCCTTCTTGTTGGCGCACAGTGCGTTGAAATACTTC